TCCATGTCGTCCCGCAGAAATTTCACGCTTTTCTGCGATTCGCTACTTTTCTTTATGTGAATGAACCTTGGGGCGAACATACGCGGTTGCGACTGCTACCGTTGGGGGGGACGGGCAGTAGAATCGCTTTTGTGTAATCGATCCGCCGCGTGCGGCAGTCGCGGGCCATTCGCCTCGTTATTACTCTTCTAGCGTTCCTCATATAGCTCAATCGATGTGCCATTGTTATTTTTGGCATTATTCTAATGATAGTTCTGTTGTTCCTGTATTTCTTGCTTGCTGCTGCATTCTGCTACATATCTCCGCACGCGGTGTCTCTCTCGCCGCGACGCGACAGTTTCGATCCTACTACAGCATACCCCTACCGTGATTAGGCATAAATAACACCTTCGCGGAGTGTAGCGTACCTGTGGTAAGCCGGTGATGGTTGGATGCCCTTATTGCATACGCTGTGCTTGAAATTCTGTTTATGTTATGAACTTGAAAGTGAATTAATTAGTTTTGAAAATGTATTTCAAATTTTGGTCCGGAGATCCACCGGAATCAGTAAGGATGGGTATGTTCTGACGTTTAATTGCATATATTCAGGCCAGCAACTGACCGTCGATCACAGGGGACCACCTGGAGTATTTGTGCCGATAAGAATGAGACCAGCAGACGAGGTATGCTAACTAGTAATTTTACATTGTAGTGTGTACTTGAGCAGTCTTTGCGCTACCCGTCATCTGGCTGTCTCACTGCGTTTTCCAGTTCCAAAAACGAGGTTTGGATAGCCAGCCATTAGAAAGGAAGGATTCCGCGCTGACCACTACAGATTTACCGTTACCGGTTGGTTTGTTTTATTTACTTCTATAGTTGTATTCATGATTTTGGCCTCATGCAAGGATAAAAGGTGAATCTTGGCGTTAATCAATCCCATTTTCGGGATGCAGCCTCGCATTCGACTTCCCTTCTGGATCGTAGTGACATTTTGAATGCGTTTGTGTATAATTCAAAATCCGGTCCCCGTACCATGCGTATACGATGGCCCACCACTTACCACTGGGTGCGCTTCGTTCCACGAGTCCGTCGAAACTAGGTCACGCCGCAGCCGTGGCACGCGGCGCGTCAGCCCGCAATTTTAGACGGACGTCCCAGTTTTCATTGGAGCATACAATTTGCGTTTAGACGAACCGAAGAGCACATGACACAGACTAGTGCAAAGATTCGCTCCATCGACACTTACCATTAGGGGACTGTAATGCCATCTCAAGATCGCAGTGGGTTGCGCCGCGCGCGATGTGGGCGGGAGGACCTGGTTCCGGCGGGCGCGCGGAACACGGACGTCCAACTTTTGACATTGAAGTACAGCCGCCCTCTTTAGCCTTATAGACGTGCATCTTATAAATGTCGTCATATGAAGCTGACCTGCTGCAAGTCCGAGGTAGCAGTAGTTCGCTGCACAGAATAAACAAATGAGAAGGTTGTAGCGCATAGGATAGAAACTGTCGCATCGCGGCGAGGGAGACGCCGTGCGCGAAGGAATGTAGCAGATTGCAGTGGCAAGTAAGAAATACAGGAACAAAAGAACTAACATTAGAATCATGCTGAAGATAATAATCGGATATCGATTGAGCCGTATGAGAACGCTAAAACTGTGATAACGAGGCGGATGGTCCGCGACTGCCGCGCGCGGTGAATGGCTGCATTCATAGTCCGCCGGCGTGCCGACGTGCCGGCGCG